TGAAATGAGTTGATTTTGGGTTGTTAAGAAATATTGGTTGATGAAAATGATGCAATTGAGAGGGTTTGTAGCTTTGAAGTGGGATATGAGAAATGAGTTGATTAATTCTTAGGTTATTCTAGTTGCCCGTTGTTTTTTATGGTGGAATTGTGTTGTATATGTTGTATATATAATTTTTATTGCATTGCATGTTGTTTGGATTGCTGATTTTTAGGAGGTTGCACAAAATCGGATTCTACACAAGTGCAAAACCTGATTTTGTGTTAGGCGCGCCTTCAGGGTGCTAAACGTGACTCCAAAAAGAGGTCTTTATCTTACTCATGTCAGACATAAGATTAGTGGTATTTGACGTGAGGAGAGAGACTCGTCTTGAGTTGGAATCACGTCGAACATGGGTTGAACAATGTTAGACGTGAAGATAGAGACTGATCATCTATGTCAATATTCACATCGAGGGCTAGTGTGTGTGATGTTAGGCGTAAGTCAAACAAGGAGCTCTTTACCTAATCTGGGTTAGGCGTGGGTGTTGTCACGCCAAGTGTGAGAGTGTGGGACACTCTCTACTTCAATAACTTCTAGTGCGAGTGGTGTAACATCGAGCATAGACGAGATAGAAAGTTCCCTGTCTCAATGGCACTGATGCGAGTTGTACGATGAAAAATTGTTACTTAAAGTTGTTTTTACAATTGATTGATTGTGAATAAGTTGTATGGATGATGATGTAAGATGATATATATGTGTTAATTAATATGTAGTAAGTTGAACATGTTGTAAAGTTGTGTATTATTTTAAGTTGTCCAAGACATTGTAATTGTTGATTTATGAAAGTTGCTCGTGTTGTAATAAAGATGTACGATGTTTAAGCTGATAAGTTGTTCAAGCTGATAAGTTGTATGTTGAATATATGTTGATAAAGTTGTTAAGTTGATAAGCTGTTAAGTTGATAAGCTAAAGATATGTGGGTTAAATACATGTCTTGGCTATGATACATAAAAACTAAAAGGGAGTAATATGTCTTAGAAATTAGAATATCCCATTGTGCAGATATACGTTGCGATGCTCTAAGAGCTTGATTAAAACCCTTTAGTTGGTAAGTTAGCCTCTAAATGAGTAACCTATTTTTTAGTTGTTCCCTCCAAGTTTTATGTGGTATTCGTGTGTGGAAAAAGTCACATGTATATAAAGCGGCTAATTGGGTAAACTACGAAGTTAGGGGCTTAATCCCTAACCTAATATTGAAGGGTGGTCAATGAATTAATCCCATAGGAAGTTTAGTGTTGCAAGCTAATGCCATGATAGACTTATACCTAAATTATTCTACCTTGACATAGTACCATATTTCCTAATTTAAATGGTGATACTTGAAAAAATAATCTAGCTTATATTAATCGTTGTTTTTGGTCTTAGCATCAATCATTATTTCCAATTTTATATCAGTGAATGTGGTTTAGTAGGGTCTATCCACTTAAACTGTTTGTCCTATATATGTTGTAGAAGATCTTTATAGTTGATATGCATGATGATGCATCATATGCGATTTATATGTTGACGTGTTGAATGTGTCGTGAGTTGTTTAAGTTGTTGTGTTGATGATGTTATTCTATTGTAAGTTGAAATATTTTACTATGGTGATGTTGTTTATAAGTTATTATGTTGAATTCTTTTCACAAGTTTACCTGTGTTTTTTTGTGACTGAAACTGTAAATGATCATATATACTTGATATGGGAACAATACAGAATTAGTAGGATGACTTATGTTGTTGGCGGGTAGTCACGCTAAAGGTGACTAGATTTTGTTGATGATTACTATGATGTAATGTCTTGTATAGACACTAGTGCAAAAATTGGATTTAAAATCGGAGTTTTAAGATCGGTTACCTTATAACCGATCTTAAAAGTGACGTGGTGATCAATTTGTAAAAAACCTGAACCGTTTCAAGAACGGTTGAAATTTAACCGATCTTAAAAGTGACGTGGTGATCAATTTGTAAAAAACCTGAACCGTTTCAAGAACGGTTGAAATTTAACCGATCTTAAAAGTGACGTGGTGATCAATTTGTAAAAAACCTGAACCGTTTCAAGAACGGTTGAAATTTAACCGATCTTAAAAGTGACGTGGTGATCAATTTGTAAAAAACCTGAACCGTTTCAAGAACGGTTGAAATTTAACCGATCTTAAAAGTACTTTTAAGATCGGTTATAAGGTAACCGATCTTAAAAGTGCCACTTTTAAGATCGATTATTTTATAACCGATTTTAAAAGTACTACTTTTAAAATCAGTTATTTCAAAACCGATTTTGTATTCTGAAATAACCGATTTTAAAAATATCGTCAGAAATCTTTTATATTCCCCTCCATTGTCATTCTCTTCAATCTTTCCCTGAAGCTTTCATTTTCTAAAATCTTCAATAAGGTAAATTTCGTTGTCGTTTTCGTTTTCATTTTCGTCTTCTTCTTCTGTTTCTTTTTGTTTTTTCATGATTTCTCGTCTCTGTGTTGTAGGTCCAGTTTGGGTTCGAAACTGGAACGGCCCGTTTTGCAAGGAAAACGGGGCGTTCTCCAAAGAGAACGGGACGTGCTCCAGGGAGAACGTGTCGTTCTCCAAGTTACCTTTTAGGCATTTTGATCAGACTGAAACGGCCCGTTCCGGTTTTGGAACGACCCGTTCCAGTTTATTTTTTTCCCACATCCGGACTTTTAAGATTGGTTATAAAACAACCGATTTTAAAAGTCTAACTTTTAAAATCGGCTCTTTCAAGATTGGTTAAAGAACCAATTTTAAAAGTTAAAAATAACTGATTTTAAAAGTCATTTTTCCACTAGTGAAATGTCGATCGATACTTAGATTTATTTTATTCTTAGTATTATATCTTGTATATAACATGTATGTACAAGATACTAGTTACTGATTATATTATAAACTTTAATTCTAATATATGTTGTTTAATTTTCGTTGTGTTTTAAGTTGTTTAATAGTAAGTGTAATGACGTTAAGTCGTTACACTTATCATTGAAATATACTCAAAAATTACAATTATGCATGTTTGTAGAAATATTTTGTCACAAATAATCTTTATACATGTATAGTGTAAGACTCGAATAATTTATAAATATAATTATGAAAAAAACAGAAAATTTTTAATTTGATTATCTAAAATTGCATGTGCTATCACATTAATCTTTCGAATATTTTGATGATTAGATTCGTCTTTTAAATATTAGTTTTGTCACCGCCGCTATACTCGTTTACATCTTCTTATACCAAATTAATCCTTCAAAGATTAAGGTTGGTTGTCATATATATTATAACATTTACAAAAGTTAATTATTATTTTCAAGCCGTTTTTTTTTTTTTTTTCGTTCCTGGAGTATCTACCACTGATAGTGGTAATTAATCTCCTCGCTACGAGGGAGGCACCTCAAAGGATGGGATAGTTGACCCCAAAATTTAAGCAGCTGCATACACAACCTGACCTTGCTTAAAAGTGGATCAACCCCTACCGTTAAACCACACGCTTGAGGATTATTTTCAAGCCGATTATACATATACTTTATTTATATATCATTCATTATTAATTATCTTAGATGCGAAGAGAAAATTAATAGAAATAAAAAAGAGAGAATGAAAAATATTTATTTTTTTCTTTTATTGTTTAGATATATGAAGGTAGAAAGAAAATAAACAAAATGTTCATTTTCTTTTTATTATTTAATTAAAATAAAAGTAAGGAAAATGTGTACTGAATTTATATAATGAAGGTACGTAGTGTAGCTTTTTATATCTTCATAACATAATGGTGCAGATAAATACATTTATTATTTATAAAGAATCTTTCCTTTTTCTCCTTTCTACATAAAAAGGAAACTCTTTACGTAACTCTTTATCATTTTTTTTCCTCTCCCATACTGTCTTTCCGCAAGGATATATACTTTTCTCATCCTTTTAATATTTCTTAATTCAGTTTTGCTCCTTGCATTCTTTTCACAAACAAGACAAATGGGGGTCTTCACTACTATAGTAAATAGTTTTGAAACTCTGTATTGATTTACTAATAGTGAGAGAAATGCAATCATATTACTCCAATTATTATTGATTTTTGAGCTGTTTGTACAAGTGAGATTACAGGGACCCGTGTGTTATAATGATAACTGAGCAGGATGTGCCGATTTTTTAGGTTTCCAAGTTGGCCTCCTACGAGGCTTCATGCCCAATCCTTTATTCGATATCTGTTTGTAATAATTTTGTCGAACTAGTTTTTTAAATCATACTCTACTTTTTATCTGATCGAAATCCCACCTCTTTAACATTTAATTATAATTATTATGTCAAGAATTGGATTCCTGCACCACTTTAAACTGCATGCGAATGCAGTGGTGAATTATCCCAATAGTATTACGCTTTTTTTTTTTATATAAAATAAAATAAAAAATCTATAGTACCATTGTAAAGCTAACGGGCTGATCCATTATGATGTTAGATTACAACACATGAAATTCTTTGTGTAAAATTAAATTACATTTCCATGCGTGATCATAAATTTTATCTTGGAAGTTGGAACATATATATGTTAACCTAACCTCACCAGATACATATAAAAGAAAAATGAATTCGTTTCTTAGATTATTAAGATCCATATTAAAATTTAAAACAATTCTTATACGTTTTTAATCTGATGTTTTATAAATTTTAAGAAGGGTAAACCCTAAACCCTAAAATAATAATTATAGAAATTTCCGGGACATAATTAAAAAATTGAATGATAATATTACTTTAAATCACTGTTCTCCGTGGGGGGAAAAAAGAACGTCACCACTAACTGCCGGTCCCATTATAATGGACCGAGCTACTGCTATCATCGTGATCGTGATTTAGTTGATTCATCTACCACATTAATTAATTAAATATATATGTATATTAAAGTAATTAAAAAAAAAAGTGAGCATGCAAGTATTTAAGGGACCTAGCACTCACAACACCTTTCAGAATCCAAACATAGATAGAGACAGTGAGTGAGAAATAGAGAAGATGGGAAGAAAGGCCAATTGTGCCAATCACGATGTTGTGAACAGAGGTCCTTGGTCTGCTGAAGAAGACAAAATTCTTATGAACTACGTTCAAGTCCATGGCGAAGGAAAATGGAGAGAGCTTTCCAAAAGAGCTGGTATATATATATATATATATATATATAGAAGGCCTAGTAAAAGACAGACACATAGCAAGTTCATTTGTACCTCTCCCTCAATATTATTTCTACTGCAAAATTATAATTTTGGAGCGGTGTTCTTTGGTTCGGGGATCTTTCGCTGCACTCAAACGGTCTAACGGGTTGACGTATCTTGGGAGAGGAGCGCACTATAAGACTCTAAATTACCAGTGCAGTGAGGGCGTTTTCCCTCTAAGGATAGCGCTATACGTGCTTCAATTCAGGCTACTCTAAACCTATTATTTAATATTCTAAGTTGCTCTTTGTGTTTAATTAGTTGTTACTGATTATTTTGTTTTTAATTTTATAGTATGCATTGTGTTGTTGATATTGGTTTTATTGATTAATCTAAATATTTATTTTTTCTTGTGCTCTATTAAATTTATTTTTCTAACAATATTAGAGAGAAAAACTTTTCTTTTCTTGTTCAATATCAACATGTCTGCAATGGATATTTTAAAGTCTTTGAGTAGTAAGCCAGAAAAATTTAATGGTGAAAATTTTTTATGTTGGTAACAACAGATGAAATTTTGGCTTACAGAGTTGAGTTTATTTTCTTTTATTTTAAATGAAAAATATGAAAATTGTCCTGATTGTGCCTTGGTTGAAGCTAGTTCTTCTAGTGATAAAGATATTTTGTGTCATGGTCGTATTTTGAGTGCTCTATCTAATAATATTTATAAAATATTTTGTAATACAAAAACTTCTTTGGAGTTATGGGACGCTCTTGAACTAAAGTATGGTTCTGATGAAAAGGATTTAAGAAAATACTCTTGTGAAAGAATGATTTATTTTCAAATGGAAGATGGAAAACCTTTCTCTGACCAAGTTCATGAATTTGAAAATATTATTTATGATATGAAAATGAAAGAAATTACTTTTCCTGACATAATGCTTATTAGTTTGTTAATTTCTAAATTGTCTCCTTCTTGGTCTGAAATTGCAAGAAGCCTTAAGCATAAACC